TTTTAACTTTTTTTGTTTTATAAAAATAGTTCTTTAGATTAGTATTTCACTAGAACAGGTAAAATAGAAAAATCAACTAGTAAAAAGATAAAACTAGTTTATAAATTTTTTTATTTTTTTATATATTCTTTTACTAATATTGTCTTTTTTTTAGCTTGTTTTTTGTTGGTGAAGATATAATAAGATCTGAAATTTGAAAAAATAGTACTATAAGATAAATATATTAGTTTCTACTTTCTTATTTTCATATCTTCTTGTTTCTTTTTCTTTCATTCTTTAACTACTAATTCTTTTTCTTGTAGGTTACTAAGAAATATAAATAGAGTCAATAATAAAGATTTAAATTTAGAAAAAAATAGTACTAGTATAAAATAAGTATACTAGTTTCTACTTTCTTGTTTTTATATTTTCTTGTTTTTCTTTTCTTTTATTCTTTAACAACAACTTTTTTTTCTTGTAGATCACTGTGGAATGTAAATAGAGTTAATAATAGAGATCTGATCTCAGAAGAAAATAGTATATATAAGATAAATATAGTAGACAAATTTGTCTACTAGACAGTTTAAAAGATAATCCAAATACAAAGTATTATCAATACTATCTAATATTTAAGAGGTGATTCACTATTAAAGGGTATAAGCATCATATAAGCATCATAGTAAAAATCGGCAGGCATTACATATAGAATTTTAATAGTAGTAGGAATGACAAAAGATTTTCACAAAGAGTACTATATAAACTTCTTTTTTTACTAAATAAATCTCTCTTTGACTACTAATTAAAGTTGTAGAGAAAGTTCATGCGGTTTTAATGGTAGTAAGATCACTAAATTTGGTCTGGTGAATCATGAGATATCAATGATTTATGTTTTATGATCATATGAAATTTCTTTACAGATCTGCAAAGAAAATTTCATATGATCGTAAAATATAAATCATTGATATCTTATGATTCACCAGACCAAATTTGGCGATCTTACTACCATTAAAATCGCATGAACTTCCTCTACAATTTTAATTAGTAGTCAAAGAGAGACTTACTTAATAAAAAAAGAAGTTTACATAGTACTCTTTGTGAAAATCTTTTGCCATTCCACTACTATTAAAATTCTATAAGTAATTCCACCAATTTTTATTATGAAATTTCTACCTTTTAGCTGCGAACTACCCTTAAATAACTTCATCTTATACATTAAATAAATATTTATTAATCTGATAGCTCTATCATTACTTAAATATATATTGCCAAGTAAAAAACTAGAAGCTTAAATAATAATTTTTATAAAATAAATATTTATAATAACATATATGAAATAGTTTATATTGATCTTTGTTTATATCTTTCAAAATAACATATAGCCTTCTTTAATATCTAGTAGATAGTTTGAAAAAAACTGATAGTTTTTGTCATTTATTAATTACTATATTCTTTTTTTGCTTTGCTTTTCTTTTCTGAGATATAATAGATATAATATTGGTAATGCTAATAGTATCAGAACTATTATTAGTAGTGATAATAGTATTAGAACTATTATTGATAGTAGCAGTAGTTTCAGAATCATTTTTGATAGCAATAGTAGTGAATTAAATATTTGTATTATTGCTCTTTTCAATTTACTGTGATCATTAAATTTTGTAAATCATATCACTAGGAATCTAGAAATCTAAAAATCGTATTTTGTAATTAAAGCTTTTTTAAATTTTGAACAAAGATATCTCAACAACAACCAAGCCAAATTTAATAAACTTTTTTTATTTGAATTTTACAGATTCATAAAATTCAAATAAAAAAAAGTTTATTAAATTTTGCCTAGTGGTTGTTAAGAAATTTTTGCTCAAAGTTTAAAAAATATTTAATGAAATTTTTTTTCAAACTTTGAGAAAATATATTTTGACAAATATCAATTCAATTTTGATAAATTTTTTTTTATTTAAATTCTACAGATATGTAGAATTTAAATAAAAAAAAAGTTTATTAAATTTTGTCTAGTGGTTATTAAGAAATCTTCCGCTTAAAGATTAAAAAAAAAATTTGTTAAATTTTTTAAAACTTTAAGCAAAGGTTTCTCAACAACTATTAGACAAAATTTAATAAACTTTTTTATTTAAATTCTATATATTTGCAGAATTTAAATAAAAAAAGATTATTTAATTTGGATTGATAGTTGTCAAGATATCTTCACTCAAAGTTTTAAAAGATTTTGGTACAACTTCTACTTTATAAATGAATTGAGCTTTTTAAAAAAGTTAAGTGAAGATATCTTGACAAATACAAAGCCAAATCTAGTGATCTTTTTTTTTAAATTCTACAAATTTGTAAAATTTAAATAAAAAAATCTATCAAATTAAATTTGATGGTTTTTAAGATATGTTTGCTTAAAATTTAAGAAAATTTTTATTTGATAGACTTGAATTTTTTTTGAATGAAGATATCTCAACAATCACCAAGCTAAATTTGATCTCTTTTTTTTTTATTTGAATTCTGCATATTCATAGAATTCAAATTATTAAATTTAAATTATTGTGATTTCATTTAACTAACATTATACAGATGACAATTTATTATTAATATATATATACAACTAATAAAATATTAATCTAACTCTATATAATGTCAGTTAAATAAGTAAAATAGATCAAGAAAATAAAACCCACCCATCATCAACTTTTATCACTAGGGATCTGAGGTCTAGAAATTAGGAATCTAAAATATAATATATAAATATAAAAGAAATTATAAAAATAATAAAGTTTTTTTTAATATTATCAATCAATACTGTATTTTATAGCTAATATATTAAACACTAAACTTAAATATCATTATAGAACTTGCTTTAGCTACCACAAATATTTGTACTGTGCAGCAGATTTGTATCAGATCACTTGTAGCTATCAACTAAAAAAAATAGAACTGCTTATGTCAAACAAGCATATATACATTTATTTAAGTCTATTTAGGAATCACTAAAATTCAAATATATTTATAAAAGAGTTTTTAACTTTAATTATCAAATAAATTTAAAAAAGTCATTTAAGTTTTTTCTTTGTAGTTGATATCACAACATCCTGCTCAAATTGAATCCCTCTAAAACTAAAAAAAAATTAGTAGAAAAAGCAATTGATAAAACAACTAATAAAATAACAGATGTAGTAATGGATAAAGTAATTGATAAAGTAATAAATATATTATTGAATATAAGATCAGATATGATAATAGATATAATAACAGATATATTTTTTTTTTACTTTAGCGATTCTACTTTTATTTATTAAATCGGTAGTAAATTACAAATCTGCTCTCAGTTAGCTAAACCTACATGCAAATCGTTAAGATACTATATGCCTGTCTAAATAAAAATTCTCTCAATTTGTCTTATTATCACGTTAAAACCACAGCCAAGGCCAAGAATTTTACACTAGAGTATGATCCAGGAGCAACCCGCCTAAGTGCCAATTTTCCTCCTTCCAAGATTCTCAACTTACTGAGGATATGAGCCCTAGATATCAACAGACAGAAGCACCAACCTTGTCAGAATCACCGCTTTACAATAGAGTGCTGCCAATCTGATAACACTTTCTCGTAGAGAAGTAAAAAAGAAAAAAAGAGGTAAGGGTAAAATGAAAAGGGGGAAAGTAAAAAACAAAGACATATAAGAAAATGACCAGACTAAAAAGGAATCTAAAACACTATTCTAAAATCTAGGAGAACTTGTACACAGATATAAAAACCTGCTAACCAGATAAAAAACTATCTATATGATCATAGAAATCTATACATAGAGCTATCTAACAAAAAAGAAACTATGAACTAAAATATACTTTAACTTGTACAAAGGACTAAAAATTATATGTATATGACTTCAAAATATTGCATATCTCTACTATATCACTCTAGTTTACAACTCTCATATAATCTACCTCAAATCCTAGAATGCCAATTTTAAAACCCTCGACACGTGATCGTCAGTTTTATTTATAACAGGCTGCTTTTTCCGATTTTACAAAGATCCTCTTACAGTTTTTTCTATTACCTTGCTTCTTCATTATACGAGATTAAACAAAAGGTCTTTCTTATGGTCTACCGGCATCATTGGAAGCTACTCTCTCAGGTCTGTCGCATAGAGTATTTATTCCTGTACAGTCAAAATGATCTAAACACAGAACTTCCACGTACTTCAATCTAACCAAAATAGAACTTCCTCTTTATATGTGATTATTGTGTTTCTTATTTGTCATATCGTAACTCGAGACTTTCCAAAAATAGAAATATAAACAATGCCGATTTTTTGAAAGGGGTAGCCAAATCCCCCACTTTTTGTCAAAAATTATGAAAAAAAAACAGCAGAAGAAAGTATAGTTTTGCGAGTCTTTTAACCAAAAAGTGTTATTCCAAGAGTTCTTTATAGCCTTCTGTTTTCAAAATAACTTGAGTCTTCTCTCTACTTACTGTTCTCAGAGACTTCTCCGGTTTGGATGTCAAATACAAAAAGGAGTCCGCTCGAGAACAGAATAAGGCTTGACCCCTTTGCAAACCATCCAAAACATCTGCTCCTCGGTGTATCATGTTTAAAACTTCGTCGACAACAGTTCGTATTAAGAAAACTTCAAGTTATTTGTTCACTTCTGGTCTTGAGTCTTCAACTTGCTTTCAGAAGCTGGTTGGTACAAGTGATCATTGGGAAGAGTTGTATAGTAACAGATATTATAAGTAAAACTAATGTATTTTTTTGTTTCTTTTTTTTTCTTTTTTTTTAATTATATATATAAGTTTATTTAAATACTTTTTTTTTTGTTTAGAAAATAATCCTATTATTTTCTCTATCTGTATCTTTTATGGCTAGAAAAGATAAAGTATTAAATAGTGATAATGATCTTGAATTTGAAATAAACTACAAATTATTTATCAAAACTGCAGAAAGAACAATATTGCTAGCTAAATAGTTTAAAAAATTTATATAAACTGTAAATAAATTTCTTTTATTGATTTATAACCAAATCACCATGTTAATAAAAGATAATACTTTCTTGCCAACTGATTATAGTATAATATTTAAAATATAAAAAAAAACTGATGCTAGGATCTAACTAGCTGATGCACAGGATTTTGTAAAGTTTAAAGCCAAAAGTCTAAAACTAGCTGCCAAAAATATTGATATAAGAATTTATATAACAATTATACAAACAAAAAAAAATAATCTAATTGATTAGGGCAGTATCATTTATTACCTGATTTTTTTTTATCAGAGGCTTACTCCTCTCCCTCCCTCTTATTATATATCTTGATCAGGTCTTTATATATAATTTTAAATTTTTTACTCCCTCTCTCTCTAAAAAATCATCTGATTTTTGTCACGTCCCTTACTTTAATAAGCACAGTTTTTTTCAATTTTTAATAGCTGCTCTATCTTGTTTAAAGTATAAGGAGAGCATCTTTTTGCATTGTGAATATATAGTAAAATTTCTAATTATATTGTTTAATTGAAATTTTATTTTGTATTTGCAATACAGAAAAATGCTCTTTTTATGCAAATATAGATAATACATAATACACTCTTAATACTCGAAACAAGGTAAAACAGCTGTTAAAAATTGAAAAAATTTGTGCTATTTTAATATATATTTATATATTTATATTAACTAAATTACAAAAATAATAGAATGTAGATAACAAAAAAAAAGAGTTCATAGTTAATTACAAAAATAGTAATAAGGTTTCATGTATTTCATCTTTATCTTTACATGACAAATTAATTGCTAAAAATGTGCTAAAAATTAAAACAGAATATCACTATAATATACATAACTAAACAAAGAAAGCAATAAGGATTTACATGTAGAAATTACCTTTATAATATTTTCAATATAGATGTCTAATATGGTAAATTTTATTGTTTACTATACAAAATATGATTTCCTGCAGTATTTACATATATATACATATATGTAGAACAAAAAAATTAGCTATAATTAAAGACCCTCCAACATATTTACTTTTTTCTCACACTAAGACATTTAAAAAATTATATTTCTCTTCATTGTCTTCACAAGCATTACAACCATTATTAAAAATATGATTAGGAACATGACAAAAATCAGGTAATTTTTTAGGGGAAAAGGGGTAAAAAATTTAAAATTATATATAAAGACCTGATCAAAATATATAGTAAGAGGGGGAGAGAAGTAAGCTTCTAATAAAAAAAAATCAGGTGATAAATGATACTGCCCTTACTACTATCACAAGTACTATTATCACTAACACTATTACAAGCACCATTACAAGCACCATTTCAAGCACCAGTAGCTTTATTCTCATCACAATCACTATTAGCTATGATCACAAGCACTATTTGTTTTCCACTACAAAATAATTGGACTTATAGATTTTTAGTATTTCAACTATTTTTAATACCTTTTAATCTATATCAAGTACAATCACAATATATTTCTCTTTAACCTCAAGCAAATAGATTTTTTTTTTTGACTACTTTATCAACAAGAGCTGAATTTTTGAAAGAAATAGATGAAAATAAAGCAACTAATTTCTACTATCAAAATTTCTTGTATGAATTTAAAAAACAAAGAGTTTTAGTAAAAAATTTAGCAAGATTACCTGGTAAAACACTTAAGCTATGTGGTATAAATACAGTTGATACTTAATAGACCTTGTATAACTATACTAAAAAATATTGGAATTCTTTTAATTTTCAAATATCAAGAATGTAAATATTAGAATTATATTTATAGTTGTTATTTATATATAAAATTTACTTTATTATATTACTATTAGGCTTTAAAGAAGGAGAAGTTTAATGTAAAATTTCAAAAATAGTATTTTGACTTTATTAAATCTTAATTATAATAATCTAGAAAAAAGTTTTAGAACTACAAAAATACTAGTTTAATATTAGAATCAGTATAATTCAAAATAATTTTGATAGGGTATGACGACTTAGTGAAGTGGTTAAGTTGTTGTATTCCAAGCGGTATGTTGGATAGATAGGAGTTCGAAACCCACTAGCGACAAATTTTGAAAAATCTACTTGTACGATGCTGCTATTTTCTGTTAATCAGTTAAACGAGATTTCTGTAATCTTGGTAGCACTAACAAGATTAAAAGATCATAGAGTATTTGTACAATATATGAGTTATATAAAAAAGTTCTCAGATTATAATAAATTTAAAGAACTAGAAAGATTGGATGTATGTTTGGCAAGACCTGAATAGAGAGGTAGCACAAATCTTCGATAGTACTATGTAAAAGATTATAGTTAAGAAAGCGAATTAACTGAATAAAACCAAAGTATTTGGCAAAGCACTCTATCAACTAGACTGCCAAGAAAGTAACTGAAGGAAAAAGATCTAATTATGGGGACCAGAAGCAGATCACAGCCCTTCTGGGCTATCTAAATTAATAGTTTAGAAAAATTCAAGAAATACAGTATAGTCTATAAAGTGGGTACTAGGGTCTAGATGATTTTACAAGAGCAGAAATAGATAATTGTAGTGGCTTTGGCTTACAAGTACTTGTTCTTGAACTTGGTATAAGTTACTGAAATCTAGGTTAGCCAGATTGTAGGTATAGAAGCTCTAGCAGGTTTACCTCGAGGACAAAGGGCTTCCAATAGTGGTAGTCTGTTTTAAAGTCCTAAGCTGGGTATCTGAAAATAAGGGTTCAAACTAGATTCTCACTTAGTTAAAATAGTTTAACTTCATAGATACAGAAGGTTTAAATAGGTAATCTCTAGTTAGGTTGCAGGTATAATATTTAGTATAGAACTTAGTAATAAGCGGACTACTTAAATAGGTAATCAAAAATTGTACGTGTGGCTAATATATATCTTCCAAATATATATACAGTATGAGCTATTCTAAAAGAGTAGCTTATCATACAGTAAAGTTAAATAATAACTAAATAAAAAGAGATTACCTATTTAAACCTTCTGTATCTATGAAGTTAAACTATTTTAACTAAGTGAGAATCTAGTTTGAACCCTTATTTTCAGATACCCAGCTTAGGACTTTAAAACAGACTACCACTATTGGAAGCCCTTTGTCCTCGAGGTAAACCTGCTAGAGCTTCTATACCTACAATCTGGCTAACCTAGATTTCAGTAACTTATACCAAGTTCAAGAACAAGTACTTGTAAGCCAAAGCCACTACAATTATCTATTTCTGCTCTTGTAAAATCATCTAGACCCTAGTACCCACTTTATAGACTATACTGTATTTCTTGAATTTTTCTAAACTATTAATTTAGATAGCCCAGAAGGGCTGTGATCTGCTTCTGGTCCCCATAATTAGATCTTTTTCCTTCAGTTACTTTCTTGGCAGTCTAGTTGATAGAGTGCTTTGCCAAATACTTTGGTTTTATTCAGTTAATTCGCTTTCTTAACTATAATCTTTTACATAGTACTATCGAAGATTTGTGCTACCTCTCTATTCAGGTCTTGCCAAACATACATCCAATCTTTCTAGTTCTTTAAATTTATTATAATCTGAGAACTTTTTTATATAACTCATATATTGTACAAATACTCTATGATCTTTTAATCTTGTTAGTGCTACCAAGATTACAGAAATCTCGTTTAACTGATTAACAGAAAATAGCAGCATCGTACAAGTAGATTTTTCAAAATTTGTCGCTAGTGGGTTTCGAACTCCTATCTATCCAACATACCGCTTGGAATACAACAACTTAACCACTTCACTAAGTCGTCATACCCTATCAAAATTATTTTGAATTATACTGATTCTAATATTAAACTAGTATTTTTGTAGTTCTAAAACTTTTTTCTAGATTATTATAATTAAGATTTAATAAAGTCAAAATACTATTTTTGAAATTTTACATTAAACTTCTCCTTCTTTAAAGCCTAATAGTAATATAATAAAGTAAATTTTATATATAAATAACAACTATAAATATAATTCTAATATTTACATTCTTGATATTTGAAAATTAAAAGAATTCCAATATTTTTTAGTATAGTTATACAAGGTCTATTAAGTATCAACTGTATTTATACCACATAGCTTAAGTGTTTTACCAGGTAATCTTGCTAAATTTTTTACTAAAACTCTTTGTTTTTTAAATTCATACAAGAAATTTTGATAGTAGAAATTAGTTGCTTTATTTTCATCTATTTCTTTCAAAAATTCAGCTCTTGTTGATAAAGTAGTCAAAAAAAAAAATCTATTTGCTTGAGGTTAAAGAGAAATATATTGTGATTGTACTTGATATAGATTAAAAGGTATTAAAAATAGTTGAAATACTAAAAATCTATAAGTCCAATTATTTTGTAGTGGAAAACAAATAGTGCTTGTGATCATAGCTAATAGTGATTGTGATGAGAATAAAGCTACTGGTGCTTGAAATGGTGCTTGTAATGGTGCTTGTAATAGTGTTAGTGATAATAGTACTTGTGATAGTAGTAAGGGCAGTATCATTTATCACCTGATTTTTTTTTATTAGAAGCTTACTTCTCTCCCCCTCTTACTATATATTTTGATCAGGTCTTTATATATAATTTTAAATTTTTTACCCCTTTTCCCCTAAAAAATTACCTGATTTTTGTCATGTTCCTAATCATATTTTTAATAATGGTTGTAATGCTTGTGAAGACAATGAAGAGAAATATAATTTTTTAAATGTCTTAGTGTGAGAAAAAAGTAAATATGTTGGAGGGTCTTTAATTATAGCTAATTTTTTTGTTCTACATATATGTATATATATGTAAATACTGCAGGAAATCATATTTTGTATAGTAAACAATAAAATTTACCATATTAGACATCTATATTGAAAATATTATAAAGGTAATTTCTACATGTAAATCCTTATTGCTTTCTTTGTTTAGTTATGTATATTATAGTGATATTCTGTTTTAATTTTTAGCACATTTTTAGCAATTAATTTGTCATGTAAAGATAAAGATGAAATACATGAAACCTTATTACTATTTTTGTAATTAACTATGAACTCTTTTTTTTTGTTATCTACATTCTATTATTTTTGTAATTTAGTTAATATAAATATATAAATATATATTAAAATAGCACAAATTTTTTCAATTTTTAACAGCTGTTTTACCTTGTTTCGAGTATTAAGAGTGTATTATGTATTATCTATATTTGCATAAAAAGAGCATTTTTCTGTATTGCAAATACAAAATAAAATTTCAATTAAACAATATAATTAGAAATTTTACTATATATTCACAATGCAAAAAGATGCTCTCCTTATACTTTAAACAAGATAGAGCAGCTATTAAAAATTGAAAAAAACTGTGCTTATTAAAGTAAGGGACGTGACAAAAATCAGATGATTTTTTAGAGAGAGAGGGAGTAAAAAATTTAAAATTATATATAAAGACCTGATCAAGATATATAATAAGAGGGAGGGAGAGGAGTAAGCCTCTGATAAAAAAAAATCAGGTAATAAATGATACTGCCCTAATCAATTAGATTATTTTTTTTTGTTTGTATAATTGTTATATAAATTCTTATATCAATATTTTTGGCAGCTAGTTTTAGACTTTTGGCTTTAAACTTTACAAAATCCTGTGCATCAGCTAGTTAGATCCTAGCATCAGTTTTTTTTTATATTTTAAATATTATACTATAATCAGTTGGCAAGAAAGTATTATCTTTTATTAACATGGTGATTTGGTTATAAATCAATAAAAGAAATTTATTTACAGTTTATATAAATTTTTTAAACTATTTAGCTAGCAATATTGTTCTTTCTGCAGTTTTGATAAATAATTTGTAGTTTATTTCAAATTCAAGATCATTATCACTATTTAATACTTTATCTTTTCTAGCCATAAAAGATACAGATAGAGAAAATAATAGGATTATTTTCTAAACAAAAAAAAAAGTATTTAAATAAACTTATATATATAATTAAAAAAAAAGAAAAAAAAAGAAACAAAAAAATACATTAGTTTTACTTATAATATCTGTTACTATACAACTCTTCCCAATGATCACTTGTACCAACCAGCTTCTGAAAGCAAGTTGAAGACTCAAGACCAGAAGTGAACAAATAACTTGAAGTTTTCTTAATACGAACTGTTGTCGACGAAGTTTTAAACATGATACACCGAGGAGCAGATGTTTTGGATGGTTTGCAAAGGGGTCAAGCCTTATTCTGTTCTCGAGCGGACTCCTTTTTGTATTTGACATCCAAACCGGAGAAGTCTCTGAGAACAGTAAGTAGAGAGAAGACTCAAGTTATTTTGAAAACAGAAGGCTATAAAGAACTCTTGGAATAACACTTTTTGGTTAAAAGACTCGCAAAACTATACTTTCTTCTGCTGTTTTTTTTTCATAATTTTTGACAAAAAGTGGGGGATTTGGCTACCCCTTTCAAAAAATCGGCATTGTTTATATTTCTATTTTTGGAAAGTCTCGAGTTACGATATGACAAATAAGAAACACAATAATCACA